GTCTTGTTAATAAGCCATCCAGTAAGCATAAAATTTTGGAAGATCAGCCACTGAGGTTTTCTCTTGCTAAGTAGCCAAATTTCCTCTAGTTAGATCTATTTGACTTCCTAAAACCTCTGATAGATGACAATAATTTGGAGAGCATATAGATAATTTTGATGCCTTGAGGGAGTAATCCTGGAAATAATTTTTTTTTTCACCTACCTCTCAGCATTGGTTATAGAGGATGTTTCAGCTGTGGTCGCCCAGATCTCCTCCATCTCTGGATTGTTGCATAATCTTCTAAGGTCTTTCCCAGCTTCCACTCTTGATCCCTGTAGCCACAATTCTACCCAGCAGCCAGAGAGAGCATTTTGAAAAGTAATTTAGATCATGTTTTTCCTCCACCTCATTTCTGTCAGAGGAAAGCCAGTCCTTGGAGTGGATGTTATAGGCCACATGGTCTGATTCTTACTGTGTTAAATTTCGTCTGTCTACTGTCTCCCCTGTGCTCTGAGCTCTCTGGCTGCAGGCCCACTTGCCGTTCCTCGGTACACAGGACACTCCACCAGACGGCATGTGCATCACCCTTTCTGTTGCCTAGATGTGGTTCGCTCACAACTTTTTAGACTTGCTCAAATATCATTTTTCAGTGAGATTACGACTGTCCCATTTAAAATTGTAGCCTGCTATACCCTCCCCTAATCTTGATCTCTCTCACCTCAATTTCTTTTCAAAATGATCTCGTATTACTGTTATGCCGTTTAATGCTTGCTCTCCCCTACCCCAACACACACAGTGGAATGTAAACTCTATGAAGGCAGGGGGTTTTTCATTGCTTTTTTTTTCATGGATATATCCCCAGAATCTCGAACAAGGCCTCAAACACAGTGGAAGGTCAATAAACTTTTCTAAAATGAGTGGATCCAATCACACAACCATGAATGGTGCATTTTTAATGAGCAGGGGTGTCTTTCCAGGTGGCATATAGCACCTTTGTTGTCAGAGAATGTCAAAATTGTAGACACAGCCAAGTGAATGACATGAACAATGATAGATGTTAATTGTGAGAGTTTTACACTAAATGGTATAAGTTCTTGTTAAAGCTGTTAATTTAGCAATATGAGCAGACTTCACATAAGACAATTGGGACTCATTTACTGTTTTGTTAGGTGTTGTGACAGCACTGTCTAATTCAAGGTTACCTCCTTTGTCTTTTTGCCAGGAGCTCTTCTTCTGACACAGTAAAGTCAGAATTAAGTAGAGGAAAAGAGGTCTGGGCCAGGGACAGAGAAGTCTTGAGGGAGAGCAACTTAGTCATGTGGTTTCCCATTTTGGGAGGTAGCAAGTTGGAGCATTTAGATTTAGGACAGTTCAGTGAGAAACAGTGATGTGGCAACTGACAGAGATGTTTTCAATCAGCCAGTCAGGTATTACGATCCACTATTCATTGGTGCTGAGGCTGTGCCTAAGAAAATAGAATGTAACGTGAGTGCGGCCGAGGTTAAAAGGCAAATAAGAGCCACTAGAAGAAGCCAGTGCCCGATTCCAAGTTGCTGAGGAAAGACAACATGCATACCAGGTTCAAGGACACAGCGTTTACTTACAGCAAGAGGAGAGAGAGCGCCCTGGATCCGGGCCCTCACAATGCATCAGTTCCCCGTGGCCAGTGGGTCTGATCCACAGAGGCTATGAGCAGTGTGACTGCACGCACCTCACTTTGTGCTGCAGTAGAAAGACCCTAGCCCTCCCACTGCGGTCTGAAAGCAGAGGACATGCCCGAGGGCCATTGCCATGCAGGTGTTTAAACAGAACATAAAAGTGTGCATCAAGCCTGGAACTGGGAAAGATATCCCCTTGCAAGGCAATAAACCCAGCACAGGCTGTGAGGGCTCTTTATCTCCTAGAAGGGGAATGTTCCCGGTGTTGGAAAGTGGGGGATGAGGTGAGGGGGTTGTGTGTGGAGGGGGTTGAGGGCCGGAGGGGGAGGGTTGAGAGGCCCGACAGAGTGTACATACTGGCCTTTTTCAACAACTTTGGTAGAAGTGAGTTTTAGATTTAACTTGGGAGATTTAAAGATTTAAGGGAGATTAAAGCACCAGAATGACAGTAGCGGCAAATATACTCCCATTCAAGAAGGAGGCAAAGCTACAATGGTGGCTGGGAAAGTCCATATGAAATGGGATCAGATTCCTCACCCAGCCTCTGCTGAGAACGCTAACAGAAGCCAGAGGACTCAGAAGGCATGGTTAAAACCAGTCACTTATAAAGACTATTGGGAGAGGATAAGAAATTGTTGACGTTGGCATGGTGGGGAAACAAGACTCTGAACCACTAATTCAGAAATGAAGGTTTTAAATTTCCCAAGACCTTAAATTTGAGATCCGAAAAACATAAAACCTAACCTATGTTGAAGCAAAGTTTATTCATAACATCTATATCTGATTTGTATATCATCATCTTAAAAGTAACCAGGGACGTTCATAAGAATGTTTTACCTCCTAGTTGGTTATTATGGAAACCTACATTGAAACCTACTATCTTAATTTACACTTGGCTTGAAGTGTATGTAAGTGATGGAGTAAAGTCTTGTTAGGCAATAAAACATCTAGACTCTCTTTGCGTCTCAATTCAAGGCTCTAACACAGCGGTCCCCAAACTTTTCAGCACCAGCGACCGGTGCTCCTATGAGAATCTAATGCCTGATAATCTGAGGCGGACCTGAGGTGGTGATGCTAGCGAGGCAGAGCAGGTGCAAATAACAGATGAAGCTTTGCTCACTGGCCCATCTCTCACCTCCTGTTGTGTGACCTGGTTCCTAACAGGCCACGGACTGTTAGGTCCTTGGCCTGGGGCTTGGGAACATGTGCTCTAACAGATTCATTTATAAAAACAAGGCAAATATGAAATATTTTCTTCTCACTGAACTGAATACTCAAGCCTGCCATGCCAGTGCTTGATAATCATTGATAAGCCCTCAAGTTCATCCAAGGAAGAGAAGAGAAACTGGAGGCAATTGTTCTGAGGACATGGTGACATGGATCTATAGTTCCTGATGTCAGGGTCTCCCACAGGTTCTTTTTGTGGTTTGTGTAGAACAGGAAGGCTGGCATTTATAATCACTCCTGTTTATTTGTTTATTGGTCACTCTGGGCCTGAGATGGATTCCCCAGTTCTTATTATGCAAAGGAGGGACATAAAGCCAATTTCCTGAACTTCAGGGAAATTCTGGCATTGACTGTAGCCATTTCAACTGCAAATGAATTTAGTGAAAGAATAGTATCTGTTCTTGTTTTACTCTGCTCGGGCTGCCATAACAAAATACTATAAACTTGGTCACTTAAAAATTAATTTTCTCACAGTTCTGTAGGCTAGCAGTCCAAGATCAAGGTTCCAGCCCATTTGGTTTCTGGTAAAGCTCTCTTTTTGGCTTGCAAAAGTCCATTTTCTTCTCACATGGCCTTTCCTCTGAGCATACAGGAGGGAGAGAGTAAGCTCTTTGGTGTCTCTTAAAAGGATACTACTAATCTTATTGGATCAGGGCCCCACTCTATGATCTCATCGAACCTTAATTACCTCTTAAAGTCCCTATTTCAAATACAGTCACATTAGGGTTATGGCTTTAACATATGCATGGTTCAGGGGATACAATTCAGTCCCTGGCAGTTATCACTTTTTTAAATAACTATTATCCCTTTGAACTAAATACTATAGTTATGTCTTTTGATGATATGTAGATGGACATAGCATCTTAAATATTTAGAATGATAGGTATCTGTAAACCAAAACTTAGAGTATCACTGAACAATATCATCCTACTATAAGTAGAGATAAAGTTGGAATTTGCTCTTGAACTATATCTAAAGCTGTTTTATAATTATCTCCCTGACACCCGACCATCACCCCATCTCCACCAAGATTTCATCCTAGATTTTCTGAGAATCCTTTGGTCTATTTGAGGAAAATAAAAGAAGTATGTGCAGATATTACCTTAGATTAAGAGTTAATGTGTAAATATATATACCTACTGTATCTTATACAATAGTTATACATTTATAATAGTTTTAAATTTTATTATACTTTGAGTGCAAATTAAATATTTATAAAATGTATCTCAAGAATAAAAAATGGTATGGAGAACACCTGTGTACATACTGCCTAGCTTGAGAAAAAGAGCATTACCAGTATCTAAACCCAACCCATTTCTCTCCTTCAGCCACAGAGGGACTGATACTGGATGTTTATAATAACCTTGGTCTTCTTTACAGTGTTCGGTACCTTGATTGTAATCCTAACAATGTGGCGTTTGGTTTTGCATGGCGATGCAGGGAACAGGTAGTGGGTTACATTTTCTTTTATTCTTAACATTATGTTAGGGAGGAAAGAGGAGCAGGCCTGATATTTGGTTCCTCTGCTTAGTGGGGTCTCAGGCTTTATATCTGATTCTCTACACACCACAAAACCGTGAAAACTGAAACTGATTCTTTAAGTCCAGCAAATGCCTCTCTGACAAGAGCTGGCTTCAGGGCACTGCTTACCCTTGCAATTCTCTCCCACTTTTCCTCGCTTTTCAACCTCTTATGATTTCTTACTGGCTTTAAGTTCATCATTGCAGGTCAGAATATTTTGTTTTCATACTTTGTCTACCCCTTGTAGCTGTTGTGATCTGAGAGCTCTTCCAGGAACCTTGGCTACACTCTGGAAGTGGAAGACTGTATCCTAGTTGTTGGTTTTAAAACATTCACGTCATTTTTCTGTGCTTTCTTTTCACACGTGCAGAGCTATATGGTCCTGGAAGAAACTCATTTTGATTGTATTTTTGGAGCCTCTCTTCTTAAATGATTGCATAGTAATTTGACAAAATATATTTGAACTGCTAATTATATTACTTGACTTGTTGAAGATGATTCTTCTCATTGGGATGCACCTGGACAGGAAGTCGTATAAATACGTTTAAGAATTAAATTGTAATTTTGTTTAAGTTTGTGTGTGTTTACATGTGTGTATGTATTTTCTACTAGGCTACACAGAATAATAATAAAGACTCCAGCCAGAATTCTTTGAGACTGTTTAATGGACACCTTTACAGTGGCGTGGAAACTTTGGGGAAAGAGCTTTTTATGTACTTTGGGCCGAAAGCTTTACGGTAAGATAAGCCTGTACAATACGTCTTATCTCTATGTTTAAAGATGAGTAGAAGGCTTTTCCTGCAGTTTGCCAGGTGTCACATTTAATCATGTAGAAAGTACTCCATTTTTAAGAGAGCTCTAGTATAAGAGGTTGAGATTCTATCATGGAAAGCAATAAGCAGAAGAATAAATTGTGATGTCATCGTTACTTGGAGGGCTAGTCAATTTATTTCTTTTAAAAAAAAATTTGATAGGCTCTCAGTGCTTTCCTAGAGATATTAGAGTAACACAGCTCTGCTTTGCTCTTTTTTAAACTCCCCATGTAGCTATTCTCCCCTCTCGTTTTCACCAAATGTTCATTGCATTATTGACATCAGTTTCTTTATATTTATGACAGCTCCTAGCATGGTTTAAATGTATCTCTAGATGTTTATATTTTTCTGTCTTTCTTCTTTTCTCTGAAGTCTTGGACAGAACTGGAACTTATTTATAGAATTAAAAAACTTTTCACAGAAGTAACAGGTTCTCCATTTTTTTACAGTGCTTATATAAGGAAATTCATTGCTAATGTGTTGGCAAAAAAGGTCATGCAATCTGCTGCCTCAATTGACTTAATGATAAAGATGTCGTAATGTATGTAATTGTCAGATCACCTATTTAATTTTTGCAGGCAAATGAAAAAGGCCCATGGATTAATATGTCTATAAAATCTAAGTCTTTCTCTGAGTTTAGCCTAAGCTATTGCAAACTATAAAGATTGGCACTGCTTCTTTGAATCTCTTTAATGGTTTTTTTAAGATATTGATATTAAAAAAAAAAAATCCTGCAACTGGACCCCATACTTTTAAATGAAGGTAAATAATGGTCACAAAAGAGATAATATGTAACTATATTATGAGATAATCAGAGATGACTTGATTTTATTTATTGCTGTTATTTATCTACTTCAAGTTTAGAACACTTCAGAGTTTATATCATTGTTTTTCCTTGGAGGCATTCTCTCTTCATTGTCAGTACCTGCTGTCCTCGTACAACACTGTCACTTCGTGTCTGGAGTTGATAACATTGACGTATATCTCCCAGTTCATGCAGTGGTTGGTGACCTACTGCAGGTTGCCTTATTGTAGTAGATTGATGTGACTGAAAACTCTTCACTCTGAACGGAGTAGGACATAATGGAATTCATGTAAGGATAGTTGAAAACATTGATATGTTATTGATTCTCTGGTATTAGCTGCAGATTTATTTCTGTAGGGTGAGAGACAGGTGTTTTTATCAAGTGTTCCCCACCAGACCGATAATGCGGAATCATCACTCAGTACAGGGCAGTGAGGAAGTGAAGTTCTGAACAAGGGCAGTTGCCTCTTCAAACTAAGCAAAATGGTGCCATCCCTGGAGAGTGAGTATCTCAGTATATGGGTGGAGGGAAGTGTAATGGTTGCTTCCTTTCAATTTCGTATAGCTTTAACGACTGTTTGATACAACAATTCAAGGTCAATGGCAGATCAGCTGTTTGAATGTGAACTGAGCAACCTAAAATCAACAGCAGCAACTTTCACAATTTAATATGTTAAAAAAAAATGCACACCCATCCAATGCTTCTTAGGAGAATGGATGACTCTGTCAAAGAAATGTGATTGTTGTGTAAGGCTGAAGGGCTGCGAGCGTGAAATAGAAATGTTGTCTTTACTTTTGACTTCAGTTTTCTACCCACCAGACCTGACTGCAATTTAGAAAGCATATAGCAGGAAACGTGCTTAATGATCGCTTACAGTTTTCCCTTAAGGCAAAGATTTTCACAATTAAAATTGCTTGTGGCTTTGAGTGTATCTTACCAGGCAGGCCATGAATCTTCCTGGGGTTCATTTGTTATAAAAGTAGAATACAAGATATCCCTCTGTAAGAGCCTCTGCCACCTAAAAATCCACACTTCAGAAAGACACAAATTAGAGAGTGACTATTTCTATTACCAAAAGATGTATCATAGTGCTCAAGTGCTCATAATAGTGCCATAGAATACTACAAATTATTTGATAGACATTTATTTTAGGAGCACGATTGTGGTGTTATATATGACTAGTACTTATACTACTTCTGAACACTTTACAAAAGCTCTTCATCTATAACAAAACAAAAGCCATTTCTAATTTTTTGTTATTTATGTAACAAATACTCATTAGAGTGAACTGAAAAATAAAGAAACACAAATAAATTTATACATTCACAATACGAATACCAAATATAATCTCTTTGAACTGTGTGTGCATACATTGCCAATGCTATGTGGTGTGTGCAAGTCTATTCCAGACACACCCACCCTACAAGCTGCCGTTTTCAATCAAAATGAACACAGCTGTTACATCTTGGGCTAACATTTAAAAGAATATATTTTTAATGAATCTTTCTTTCCAAATCACTTTGTTATTTCTAGTTGTGATTTATATGACTCCAATTTTTTGCAATTATCAAACATACTAAGGAACTATATCTGAAATATTTTAGAGGCTTTGACATTTTAGAGAAGCTTTGTATATTACCAATTTTGTAATTTATTGCATTTAAGAAATATGATCCTCTAAACAGATATGCAAGAGATAGTGTGATAGTTCTTTTTAGTTTTCTAAACAGTCTTTATGGAATCCATTAGATGCTACTTACAAAAAGGTTTTACAGTTTAGAGTTTAGACATGGTTTTTGTACTGTCATATAACATATTAGGCAAATATGAAGTGTGTTAAAAATTCTAAACTAAATTCTATACTTTAGAGTAGTAAGTACCTACAGTTTATCTGCCCTACTTGTCCCTTCGGGACATCATTCCTTCTGGAAGCTGGTTTTCTGGCCACAATAATCCAGAGTTCAAGTTGAATTTAATATAATCTTACTAACTTTCTCATACACAGTTCATTGAATCAATCTTAGTTCTTTCACGAGACTTTCTTGTCTAGAATGAGGAAAGTTAGGTTCTCTGTGATATAGAGAAAACCTGGAGATGTGAGGCCTTTAGAATTGGCAGATGGCCATGTTAAGACAGCGTGAGGTGCTGGAAAATAAAATCAGCCTGCATATGGCAGAAAAAGGATCTCAGAATCATTTTAGTTTTTTATTCTATCTATTCCTGAGATCCAACTTTTTCCTGCCTTTCCTGCAGTTAGATTCTTCAGCCCTTCCTAAGATTCCATGAGCTACTAAATATTCCTTAGTGCATTAACCTTTTTGGTTGAGTCTCTGTCACTTGGAACTTAAGAAAGCTGACCATTATCAAAAGGTACAAACTTCCAGTTATAAAATAAATGTCATAGGATATAATGTACAGCATGGTGAGTGTAGTTAACAATACTGTACTGCATATTTGAAAGTTGCTAAGAATGTAGATCTTAAAAGTTTTCATCACAAGAAAAAAAATTTTTTGTAACTGTAAGGTGATGGATGTTAACTAGACTTATTATGATTATTTCAATCAAACCATTTTGATGTACACCTGAAACTACTGTAATATTATATGTTGATTATACCTCAATTTTAAATAAACAAATATATCTGACCACATCTACACGCAGAAAATTAAACATTTTTAGCTTTTGAAACAATAACTTTTATTTTCTATGTCAATAACCATATGCTTCTCTATGTAACTGGAGATATTATGGAAATCTTTGCCTTATTCATTAACTTCCCTTCTGTACTTGCAGCCTATGAGATCACTCATTCTCCCATTATCTTTTTCTTCTTTCTTTTCGATATACACATCGTTTTATTGCAATTTTGTCCTTATTTTAAAAGTACTATATAAGCCAATTGTACAATATTAAGATAGTTCCAAAAAGTCTAAAGGAAAAAATAAGTACCACCCATAATTTCTATACCAAAAAAAAAAGAAAAACCCCACTCTTAACAGTTTTTGTAAATATCATAGATAAAATATATTGTATATATACCACATATTTACACATAGTTTATATTAAACATACATGGATTACATATATGATATTTATATTATAATTTTTATATGAATGGGAATTTTAATTTATATTTAGCTTTTTTTACATAATATGCATATTGTATTGGTCAATGTCAAAATATATATGTTCATCATAATTTTTAATGTGTGCAGTGTTCCAATATATGAATCTGTCATTTTAAATCAACCAACACTGATTAACATTGTCCCTTTTCTTTCTCTCTAATAAATAACTCTGCAGTTAACATCCTTGTGCACGTCCTTTACCATTTTGATGTTTTCTTAAGAAAAATTCCTAGATGCAGATTTGCTAGGTCTTGGTTACTGGCGCTTTTTAATATCCACTTTAAAGGCATACAGAAATCTACCATGAATAGAAAGCAAAGGCATCTGCACCTGGTCACGCAAAAGAGAATGACCCGTTCATGGCCTACATTGGCTCTGATCATGTAGTGTTTATTCACACCTCTATACAAGGTTATAAAAGCCTGGAAACACATTAACGTGAAATCCACGTAGCACTATAATACTTGTGAAAGCTGGGGACCTTATCATAGCCGGCTTACCTGGCGTGGTTTTCTCAATTAATAATTTTAATGTTTAAATTGATTTTATATTACCTGCCTCGTAGTTCTCACATCTGGGGGATCTTTGGATCTGGCTATGCTGACTACTTTATCTCTTCACATTGATTTTTTTTATCTTTTTTATTTCATAATTTTTTTGAATTACAAATATCACATTTATAAGAACAATAGAGACTGAGGTAAATAATATTTAAGCCCCAAAATCGTAATGCTTCTTCTATAGGGACATTAGTGTAGGGGCTGAGTGAGTCCAGTAAGTAGCTGAGTTTGGTTTGGGTTTTGTTGTTATAGTTGCCTTCAGTGCATCAGTGGCATCAAAAACTCCAGCTGCTACTGCTCCTTGATGGCTAGAGTGTGGCTTAGTAAGGCTGAGGTGATTTTTCTGTGTTTCTGCTCCACTCTCAGCTCTCAGCAGCCCCTGCACATTCGCGTCATAAGGGCGTCTTTCCACACTCTTGCCACCTCCACTCCCTACAGTGGTAGACTGCTGTTGCCTTTTACTCACTGAGAGGTTCATGATGGGGAAAATGGAGGTTCTTGACCCTTCTAGCAGCCTGATTCTCAGGCAAGCCCTGTGCACGTGGACCTCAGGTGGCAATTTTCTCAGGGCTAGTGCCACTCTCCTCCCCTGGGCATCCAAACTCTTCCTTTTATGTGTAGGAGGGACTCTCAAGTCAGAGCGAGCTCCTTTCCTGTCTCCCAATGGGAACAGATGTGTCCTTGCATCACTGCAGGATTCTGCGCCAAAGCTGAGTCCTTGCCTCACCCCTGGGTACAGATGGTTTCTGCCTCTGCTCATCCTCAGCAGCAGTGCACTTAGCTTGGGCCTGGTGGCGAAGGGTTTCCTGCCCTTCTGAGTGGCAGACTGCTTATGCTTGTCACTTGGTGCAAAACTTTCAGTGTGGGCAGGAGGTTTCCTGTTACTCCTTCAGGGACAGATGGCTTTTTGTTTGTACCTCTCCCTCAGCTACAGCAGCTTAAGACTTTTCAAGACTTTTGCCTCGCATGAGAGACATCTTTGAGCAGACAGGGTTTTATGTAGACAGGTACCATGCCACCAAGGATGGCTCTTTCAGGTCCCCTGTCATGACTCATCTTTTTCTTGTGCAACTAACTGGTAGACGCCCAGTGAAAAGAGCTTATAGTGAGTGCATACTCTCCTTGTGTCTGGGGCACCAGGGATTCTGAACTGTCATGCAAGCCACATTCAATATTTAAAAGTTAGTTGAGAATTTTAGTTGTTTTCTTCTTATCCATTTTTACGATAGTTGTCTCTTCCTCCTGTACTCTGCCACAGGTGTGACAATTTGTATGTCTATCTTTCCATGGAAGCCTTGTCACTCATTGGAATTTAGCTCACCTAGCTGCCTGCAACCTCATGTCTCTGATGGGCTTAAGTGTTTTTGTAAACAATGTGATTTTTTTTCTCCTTGTCAGGGTGGGAGCTATATTCACTTTTAGCTTCTATATTCTAAGTAGAAGTAGAACTCTTTTTCCTTTTTAGCATAAGACCATGTCTTTGAATAACCTTTCTTTGAATTCCTAGCATAAATTTTACAATCATGCTATTCAACTATTTTACACTCTTTATTATCCCTAGGACACTTTGATCACTTGATAATTTTTATAAGCAGTTGCCCTATTACCAATGTGCAGTTGTCATTAACATATACCTGTGACCATATTGTCATTTATGCTTCCCATGCCTGCTTAAGAATGTTCTGGTAGCCTGGAAGAATGTGACTGATGTTTCAAATAGTATTGCTTTGTTTGGGGAAGTTATTTCTAACTATAGGGAGTTTCTTAATATCACTTCAATTTTTATTTGGACGCAATTTTTTATATTAGAATTTTGGTTGCAAATGACAGAAACCCGATTCAAAAAAGTTCAATAATTATTTATTTTAAGACTTTGGGGTGTCTTATGATCCCCAAAGATACTGTAGTCAGGCTTCAGGGGGAACTGGGAGCAAAGACTAAATGTTCAGAAGACTCTGCATTTCTTGACTGTTTCTCACTGGTATCTGCCGTCATCTTCCTTTCTGCAGACAGGCCTCACTCATGGCTTCTCTGGTGTCTAAGTTGGGAAACATTTCCATAGACAGCCCCCATATTAGATCTCTCAAAACTTACAAGAAACTGACTTCTCTGTATCTGAAATCCATAAATTCATCAGAATTCCAATGAATCCAGCTGGAATTCTAATGGATCCAGTGTGACTCAGGTGTTCGTTCCTGAATCAGCTGTGTCTAAGGCAGGGACACAGACTGCTCCAGGCTGGGCCTAATGCCCACCATAGGCAAGTAGTCATATATGTAGAGTGAGTGATCTCAATAGCCAACTGGATTGGGGGATGGAGGGAGCTTAAGAGGATCAAGAGATAAAAATGAGGATCTAACAAAAATTTTCCTAAACTAAGTTGTTATAATGAGGAATCTTGAAAAGCAAATCTAACTCTTATATGTAAATGTAATATGAGCCTCTGTCCTGATCTATAAAGATCAGTATGGCAATTGTTGTAACAGTACAGGTGTTTACTGTGCCTCGAAAATTTTCATGAAACTGACATATTTTTCTGAGTTTTCGCTAAAGGGTACTTAACAATAAACACAAAATTTGTTAGTTTATCAGGACTCAGTTATCATAACATTTAGCTATTGAATAAAAATTAAATAAAAATAAAATAAAAATAGTTATTTTACGGACATTTTCTTCTAAATTGAATAGATTTATATATAAGACCAAAAAAGTCATCCTTATTTGATTCAGGGTTCTTGTTGGGGTTACTTCCACATTTGAATTGGGTCTTAACCTTTGAGATTTTTTATGTGGATGCAGTTTCATTATAGAAAGTGATTTAGAATCTATTTTATGAGCCATGCAGCTGAAAAGATTTTAGATATGATGGCTTTCGGGCATGACAGTTGTACACCTTTCACTGGGGTTGAACCTCCATAAACTAAATTATGGAGTACTTACAGGCACACATTTTTCCTGTCAAGAACTATGGGCATGTAAAATGCTTTTATGATTGATAGTAGGGCACACAGAGTTTAAAACCCACATTTTTAAAGTTAGACTGGTTAACCTTGTACAATGCTATAACATAGTGCTTTGGAATTAGAAGCACAGAGCAGTAACATTTGCTGCCAAAAGAGCCATATTTATTAACTCAACGAAGCTATAAGGAGAAAGATTTGAAAGGCAGAACACAGTATTTCATCTTGAGAATCATTTTTGATCTTCATCATCAGAGGTCTCACAAAACCACTTTCTTTCCTTTTTTTTTTTTTAACTGGACATGGTAATCAATCCTATAAAAACTGAAAGGTTATGAATTTTTTATCACTGTGTTGTGGCTTTCAACTTAACCGTAAATATTTATAAATCCCTTTTTCTCAATACATGGAAAGATAGAAGAAAACTAAAAGAATTGAAGACAATATCATTTTGACTTGTCTTTTTTTTTTTTTTTTTTGATGCATAACATTTTGCAAAACATTGTTTCATTGTGTATCCCAAAGCAGGGAGAAGAAAAGAGTGTCTCAAACTGTAGATATCCGTTTTGGAAGGAGTAAACATTTTTAATCCATTGTGGCTAGAAATAAGGACTTTGAATGTTAGTGGCTTTGTAGAATTTATAAAAACACAAACTATAGGCAATTTAAATTTAACTTCATCTCATCTCAAGCTTTCAAATCTGAGAAAAAACTAAGAGACACTAGACTGTTCTGTGAACAAAAGATATTTCACATGACAAGAAAAAAAGAACGGGTATATTTTCTTGGGCTTATTTTCGAGGCCTTATTATTTCTCTAAGAACTTATTTTATTTGTGGGTCGAAAAACTGATTGTCCTATCTTCTAGTTTTATGAAGATAACAAAGCCATAACAGAAAAATATATAATGTTAGCTACCATTATTTGCCCTTTAAATGTGCCTATCCTGACTGACATTTGTTTGCTTATAATCCAAAAAGTAAAGAGAAAGAACAAGAATTTGATACATGATATACTTTCTGCCATTCAGAAAGGGGTTTGATTTTGTTGCAGGATTCATTTTGGAATGAAAGGCTCCATCATGATTAATCCACTTGAGTATAAAAATAAAAATAGAAATTCTCCTGTGTTGAAAGTGCAGCTCACCAAGGATTTGATTTGTTTCTTCGACTCATCGGTAGAACTCAGGTAAAAAAATAAATAAATAAAAATAATAATAATAATAAGAAGTAATAAAATAATAAAATAAAATATGAGATAAATAAAAATCTTTCAGCTGCAAGTCTTTAAGTTAGATCTGCATTTTGGTTTGGGATATCACATGGAAATAAGTAAATAAGTGAAATATTTAAAAATAGTTTATAATTGAGAAAATCTCATTTTAAAAGGGCCTTTAATTAGCATAGTTTGTTAGGGTCTTCACAGTTTGGCTGTATAACTCTTATACCCTGAATAGCATGAAGTGTTTATATTTCTATCAAAGCTCATTTTAAATGACCCTTTGTGAAGTTGTAACCAGACTTAGGATTAATGTGTTTTATATTCCTTTCTCTAGAAACTCAACAGAAAGCCAGCAGAGGATAAGAATGATGGAAGAATTAGATGTATGTTCACCTAAATTTAGTTTCTCAAGTGCGGAAAGGGAAGTTAAAAAGCAGACAGGACGGATGCTCTGTGATGTGTTAATGGATCAAAAAGTGTTGCCTGGGGTGGGCAACATCATCAAAAACGAAGCCCTCTTTGACAGTGGTCTCCACCCAGCAATTAAAGTAGGTTATAAGTATTTTTAAAACAACATCTATATTTTTAAATACTGTTAAGAGACCAAGATGGAGCACTCAAATCTATAGCGTAGTAACATATTCTCCCCAACAGACCTCAGGGGTCTTTGCTCATGCCAACTTTTCAGTGAGGCCAACCCTGACCACACTGTTTAAAATTGCTACATGCATCCCCTCCTCCCCCTTCATATGCTTACTCTTCCATAACTTGCTTTGCTTTTTATTTTCTCTATACCATTGATCACGTTTTTACGTGAATCCAAAGATACCTTTTTATTTTGTGTAGTTATTTCCTAGTTTTCGTAAATTCCAAACCAGTAGGAAGTAAGTTTTCAAAGGAGCAGTTAATGATAGTTCTAGATTAGCCTCTGCTTTTTGACTCTTGGAACAAGCTAGTCAAATTTCTGTAATATGGGAAAAATGAAACAGAATTTTAACAATAAGCTTTTTAAAATCACCTAGACCTCAATGGAAATTTTTTTTTTAAAAAAAGAACTCAAAGTATTATTACCTAGAATATCATTATTATCTGTGATAAACTGATAATTTACTTTTTTATCTGTACATCCAGCCTTTCATTCATCTAGTAAAAGATCATTTGTCCATAATGTCTGGGGATTTAAAGCTTAGCTATTAGCCCTCTAAAAGCAATGCACAATTATTTAAAAAGCAGTTTAACATTTCAAGGTGACTGAATATAATATATAAGATATGGAAAGAAATAAATGTATTTTAGAAGTACATAAGTTTTAAACTTTAAATAATTTGAAAAATATGTAATGATACTTTTAGAGTGATTTCGTTGCTTAGATGACTTTAGATTTTATAGTAATTGATAAATTAGTTTCTCTTGTATGTGCATATACATAGCATAAGGATAAATCATCAGAATTTCTTCTAAATTGCTATTGAAACCACGTGTGCCAAATGATCATTAACTCTGCAAGAGTAACACTGAGATTTATGCCAGGCTGTATCACAAAAAATTCTTCCATAGGTTAACAATTACTTTGATATTAATACATGTATTTCATATCTTTTTAAAGCTTGATAGAGACCTTAATGATCATCTACTCCTCTGCCTATTTTTTCCTTCTTTCCTTCTTTCTGTTTTCTTTTCCTTTCTTTCTTTCTTTTTTATCTTTTTTTTTTTTTGCAAACCTAGCAAGATTTTCAAGGTGGCTGACAGACTTCGAAGATGTCAGATACACAAGCAATAGTTAATAAATGCTTGGGTTTAGAATTAAAATTTATAAATAAGAATTTTTTTTTATCTATAATCCTATCACTTAAAGATAAAACCACACCAAGTATATATATGATAGAGTTCTAGAAGATATGAATATATTTTAAATCTATTTACAATTCTCTTAGAACTGGCAAGTGGTATTTTTCTACAGTAATGAACCAATTATGAAACTTTCCTCAGTCTTTTTTCTCTTTTAAGGTTTGTCAGTTAACAGATGAACAGATCCATCACCTTGTGAAAATGATACATGATTTCAGCATTCTTTTTTACAGGGTAAGAGCAAAAATTTTCTAATTATGTAAAATGTCAATTCTTTCCCTTTGGATTATACCAAAAAAAAAAAAAAAAAAAAGTTAAAAGCTGTGTATAGCCATCTAGTGGTGAGAGTATAGAAGTACAATAAGGGAGAGTGACATGTTATGGGCTTAATTAAAATCTTGAAATTTGAAGTCAGAGGTCATCCAAACTTCTCCAACTATAATTATATTAAATTATCTTTATACTCAATTGGGGACAGCTATGATAACGTTTAACTTAGGCTCTTGTTCTTTTTGTGGACATGTAAAAGTAAAATATAGGAAGCCTACAGGAACAGACTCAATACTTTAAATAGACATCAGTTCAGTCAGATTTTGCCACTACTATTTATGTGGTTTAGATTATTTAGATAACTTTAGGTTTAGTTTCTTCATCCGTAAAATGGAATAATAGTATTTTCTACCACTTGCTAAACCATAAATTTTGAAAGTTATATATATGCACATGTAGAGTTTGATGAACACATTTTATCTTTTAAAGTATCACACATTTTTTTTTCCACAGTCCATTTTCTGTATTCAAAATTTCTATTTTTACTATGTTTAGAAAGGCAGGTATTGTAGGATTCATTAATTGGCCAAATATGTTAATGAACCTCTTACTTTACATATCTGCCTTGAGTTTTTATGGCTACTTAATATTACATGTATTTGCTTATTCTTCCAAGGAAAGATAATTATAGACAATTACCCATTTTCTGCCCAGATTAAGTTAGCTATTTCAGTACTTTGTTTAAATTAACGTAAGCTGTTTGTGTAACTTTCAATTTATATATGGTGAGCCATATCTGGGCTTTTAAGTTTTTACACTACTGATATAAACTCAGAATATTCTCTTTGCAGAAGCTTTAAATGTATGTTAGCAGAATAAAACTGAGACAGAATATCAAATGTCTTTTGAAATTGAACTTATACCAAAATGGAACATGTTCTTTGCTAGGATGACATTTGAATTTTTATTTTCTTTTTTAGTGAATCTATAAGATTAAAAACTAAAAACTCTCCTTTGTCAGGTCAACAAAGAAGATGATCTTGTTAAATTTTCTTCCTAGAAATAAACTTTTTGTCTGTTAAAACAAAATAAACAGCCTCAGTGTTCTAAAAATAATCAGATTTAAAGCTAATCTAGTCTTTTTGTTTTAACTACATAATTATGTTTAATTAAAAAACTTAAAAGCACAAAAGATAATTATAGAACTCTTATATCTCATTTAGATAAGAGGGTAAAGCTATGCAAAGAATAATTTTGAGTACTAATAAGTTATTAAATAATTATGTCACACAAATCTAACAAATATTGCTGAATCTTGTCAATATTTTTATTTCAGATGAAAGAAAAGATTATATGGACATGTATAAACATATAAATTTTTAAAAAGTTATTTTCAGAAATGACTTTTAATTTATCTTTGGCTCCTTAGAAACACCGTTTTGTAGATAACATGATATGTTATGTTATGTGTTTGTTTGCTTTTAGTGTCGTAAAGCAGGATCGACTGTCTCTAAACACTTTAAGGTTTACAAGCGCCCTAATTGTGGTCGGTGCTGCTGCAAAATAACCGTGTGTCGCTTAGGGGAGAATAACAGAATGACATACTTTTGTCCTCACTGTCAAAAGGAAAATCCTCAACATGTTGACGTACGGTGAGATATCTAATTTTAAGGTATACTTTTTGCCTCAATTCTGTAACTAAAAGGCTATTAATAAGAGAATATAACTAGAAAGTATTTGAACTCTTGGAAGGAAATAGTAAATAACAGCATTAAAAAACCAGAATGACCCAAGATGATTTTTAGATCACTTCTGAATTCAGCAGAAAATCTCTAGCTCAGATGTTAATATTCAGCCTTTGGCTTCAGTCTCGTTTGTAAAGTGATTACAAGAAGGTATAGATATGTCAATAATTAGAAAAATGTAACTATCTTCAAAACATGTTGCTTTACTTAGAAAAAATATGAGCAAAATCTCTTTACAGAATTTATGTCTTGGTGAAACAACTACTTACTACCGACTACTTACTAAACACTTAAGTAAGTAGTGGTGATTCTGCCAGTAGCTGAGTATGTCTATTCCACTATGCTTTCCAGAACTGGGGAAATAACCACATGATGGGTTCAGGGACACACAGGACCTACTGTGAGATGAACTTGAGCTTAAATTCCATCGATCACCTGACCTCCATAAGCCCCTTTTCTGATTGATGGACCATAGTGACGTTTTGGGTCTCCTGGAATTAGTGTGAGTTCAGAACCAGTTTATAGTAGTCCCCAAAAGACTTGATTATTTCCTTTTCCCCAATGCACAATTACCCTGGTAAAAGACCACATGTCCCTTTGGGAAGGCTGGGAGAAATATTAACAATATGAAGTAGCTGCAGGGCAGTATATGTGATTATAAACCAAAATAACCAGTATAGACATGAAGCACATTAAATGCTACCAGAGTCCAGGAATGTTAGAAGTTTATAAATAATAGAAAAGGTTGGGAAGATCGCATACAAAAAGTGTAATTTGAAGTTTACTTTTGAAAGATAGTTAGAATTTTGTTTAAATAAATGAGAAAACATTATTTAATCGGAAAGAAGGAGCTTGGCCACAAACCACGAATCACGAATCAGCATGGCATGTTGGAGGGAGGATGATAACACTGGCCAAGACAAACGAGGGCTTAAGTTGGTCAATGGTAAAAGCTAGTTTTACAAGAAGGGTGGGATCAAATAGTAGAGATCATTAATAGTACCGAGAATGGTTAATGTCTTGCCTATATCAATGGATTGAGTTTTAATTACTCGTAACCTAGTTAAGATGGAAAATGAAGAGATTTAAACCCGTATGAAGAAGCTAGCACAGTATAATGGGTGAGAGATGGTTACTAAGCATGAGGTCAAGACACCGGAAATGGAAAGGAAAGTAGGTATTTACTCAATTTAAAAAGTTAAAAAGTCAACAAGAATTGTGGCAGATTTGATATGTAGGATAATGCAAAAAGTTTCAGACCTAAATAATAGAAATTTTCACTTTACGGGCCGGGGAAAGTTGGGATAGAGTGGAAAGGACAGATTGGGTTTAGGAGATGTGGAGGATCTGGAAGAGAGGTCTTTTGAGCCATAGGACAGGCTGGGAGATAATGGCCTGAGGGTGATCAGCACTGTGTTTCAGCTAAAGTATTAAGTGGGATCAAGTCAATGAGAAAGTGTAGAGAAAACAATAAGGTCTGAAGTTCAGGGAATATCCATTTCTATGCAGTAGGAGGAAAAGAGTAAGCAAAGGAAATGAAATGATATGGTTGGAAATAGAGGACAAGCAGGGAAGTACTTGGCCTTGTGGAAGCCTGGGAGAAGGGAGACACCATGTCATCCCTGGTGAGCTCATGGCAATGGAATGGAGACGGTGCGTGGTAGAGATTCCCCACTGATGTCTTTACAAATATGTCTGCAGTTGTCTTTTTTTTCCTCCTTGTCCTTGTGTTTCATTTTCTTTATCACTCCTCTTGTTCTGAACTACTTTTCTCCAAAGCGCTTCATATCCCCTTCCTTTCAACTTCTTCACCCTATTTTACTGTCATAGCGCTCTGAAATATGTTTAGATATTATATTGTACAGATTATAGGTGTACATTTATTTGACCAAATGTGTGTAACACAATATGAGGCAGATAAAAGCCATTCAGTATATATTTGCCTACTGAATAAATGATTAATGTTCTATTTGTTTTCAATGAATTGATAGTTTTGAGCTTTAAAAAAAAAATTCTTATTCTTCCAAATCATCAAACAAATGTTATTTATCATATAAATACGATAATTCTTAATTACAAGTTTTTTTGAAACTAGATTTTAAAGGCTCAAGTGTTCCCTGAAAGAGACCTACGAGGGGACAGAAGCAGTATTCCTTCTTTTTTCCTTATTAGAATCTTTATTTTATAAAAGTTTTTAAATTTATTTCTATTTACTTTCTTTATTAGGATCTACTATATGCCATGCACTGGGACTACAAAAACAAAATAGAATATAGCCACTCAAAGTGCTCAAGCTCTGATGTGGGGAGTAGATGAGTAAATGGATCATTAAAACCCCAGGATGGAAGTGTTGTAAAGGGGCACATTTGTGCTAATGGTAATGGAAGTATAGAAGAGGAAACACTTAAATCTATCTGCAAAGAAGAAAGACATTTTTTTCTGAAGGAGATGACAATTGTGCTTAGGGTGAGGGAAATAGGAATTCACCAAAGACTAGAGGCAGGAAGGGGATTTCCTGGAAGAGAAAACAGCAGCCGATAAGTACATGGGGGAGAATTGCAGGAAGGGGAGGATGTTTTGTTCCTCTACGAAGACATATCCAGGTCTCTGAAAACCATCTGATTTGGAAATGTGTGGAGAGTTGGTGGCTGGTTAAAGAGAATTTAGCAATGTTTGCAAACCAGTTGTTAAGGCAGGTCTGACCTGGCAGAGATTTTCGAGGGGGATGGAACAATTACAGGGCATTTGGGAGTTGTGAAGAAAGTCTGTGATGGGCTCATCTTGAAAGGGTAGTCTTGTTTGGGAAGAGGGTTTGGTGACATAGCCGTCATGTTTAAAAACATAATTTAAAAGGGGTTCTTTTGACTACAATGAAAGACACCAATCTCGTATTATCTTATACTAAAATAGGTATTTATGGGTCTTGTAGCCAAAATGAACACTGAGGTAATTCACAGACTTAATGAAAAAGTTATTTAAAAAAAAAAAACACGAGTCTTGGGGGCTAGAACCTATGAAGGAGACCTTGTCCAGGCTCTCCACAGATAGGACAATTGGGAAGAATAAAGGTGAGTCTAAGTTGCTTCCTGCTTAAGCCTCTAATCTCAGGCCTCGTGGTAGTAAACTCTTTCTGGTTTGGAGGAAGAAACACTGAAGGGCTTTCAGGGAGTGCTGGTGTTCATGAGAAAGGCGCACTAGCCTGCAACAGTATTTGATTCGACTGAAATAGAAGTTAGAAAGCAACTTAGAAGTTCTTTTTATTCATACCTTCATTAAATGCTTTCTTTTGCATAACTTTCTTTTAGTTTTAGTTTTGACATTAGTATTTTTTTAAAATAATCTGTTTTGTTTAATCAAAGAAAAATCCGTTGTTCCCATGCAGTAACTGTCTCCACTGAGAAGGGCAGAGTTTCCTCAGAGACACTATCAGCCCCCACCTGTTTTTTATGCCTCAGTTTCTGGGAATAAAGCCCCTCTGCGTTACCCACCTTGGGATTTTCTGAGTTTGTAGTGGAATGTGATGGTATTTGCAATCGCTGAGAGCGTGCACAGAGACCAGCCAGTAGGGAGCCTTGAGATTAACTTCACTTCAGTGATCAAAAGAAGAAAAGGACCCCATGAAAGAGGGGTGAAGAGTGATTGAGAGAGATGAATCTGAGGGAGTTACAGAGGGGAAGCTTGAGAGACGGCCACTGTATATGACAACTGAGAAATCAGAGTGACTTTCCAGAAAGCAGTTTTAATAGATATGTAAGGGCAACATTTATTCTTTAAACCTATATTTATAGAATATTTATGCAATTCTACATACCAGTGGGAGGAGACTTTTTAAAGAAAAGCCAGAGGGACATAATTGATTTCAATATGAAAAAGATCACTCTCACCAGCGTGGGGAGTTTTGACGTTGAATGGGTTGGGAAGCCATGGGAAGTTTTTGAGCAGTGTGATGACATAAAGTGACTTCTCTCTGTGTGGAAAAGTGACTTCAGTGTAACCAGAATGAAGGTGTGACATCAGGGCCCTCAACAGTATGCCCATGGTAAAATGATGGAGACTCGAAAGAGAGTGGGGGTGGTAAAAAACAGTTGAATTAAGGATATTTTTGAAGTTGAGATAGGGTTAAACACTAAAACATATAATTTTGGGAACCTTCTTTATAAAAACGAATAAAAATTATGAGTACAAAATTTAGTCCTACTGTGATTATTCAGAAATGAGAAATCACAACAAATTACAATTTTTAAATACCACAGACATCAGAAAAATACAATAGTTAACTGCTTGACATGACTATGTAATGGCTTTCTTCCATATTCGACTGCATACTCCTTGTCTTATCATATGCCCATCAACAATATTATTATATTTTGTATTATAGATAAATTAGAAAACTGTCTTCTAGCTTCACAGTTGGCTATCAATAATGGCACAGCGCTCCCCTTCCCTACAGTATTTTTCTCAAGCACGACTCCTTGTCTGTAAGGAAGCCCTTAGAGTGCTGGTTCTTAAACTCCCCTGGGCACCAGGATCCCCTGGGGGCTTGGTAAAACACAGATTGCTGGGCCTCAAAGTTTCTAAATCAAAAGTCCAGCGAAGGGCCTGAGAATCCGTATGTCTAACAAGTTCCCACGAGGTGCTGACACTGCTAGCCTGAGGACCTTACCCTGAGAACTACCACCCTAGAGAACCCCAGCCCTTGGATCTCCCTCAGCTACCCCAATTTCTCACCCCTACGAGCCTGTTCCTGGGTTGGTAGTGGGGTGTACAAGTGTTTAAGAACCTGCAGCCTGAGTCAGAATGGCCCTACACACTGAATGCAGCAGCATCTAGTTTAGATCCTCATCCTGGAAGTTAAAGAACGTCCTGCTACTCCTTGATGTCCCCAATCCACATTGTCCCTGGGCACTGAGCAGACGTCAGATTGTGCTGGCCGCACACGGGCCTCACCTAGAGAGAGCCCAGGACTGGCCACAGACTGCTGTCAGCCTCCAGCATGCAGCTGGAATACTGCTTCTGTTCTCCGTGCTCCCACCCTGGTTCATCAGGGAGAATGCACCAAGCCCTGGAAGCTTCCTAAGCTGCTGGGACATTTGCCTCTGCAGCAGAACCCCCAGGATTTGCTGATTGCGTGTAGATGTGAGAGTAAGAAGAATCAAGGATGACTCATAGGTGTTTGGCCTGATTACATGCACGGTGATGCCATTTACTGAAATGAGACAAATAAGCAGAGTTGCAGATTGGGAGGAATGCGGATGAATTTCATTTGTACTGGTTTCTGTGGCTGCCATAACAAAGTACCACAAACTTGATAGCTTAAAACGACAGAATTTTAATCAATCTCTCATAGTTCGGGATGGCAGAAGCTCAGTATCAGTTTCATTGGGCCAAAATCAAGGTGTGGGCAGGGCTGTGCTCCCTCAGCACATCTAGGGGAGAATCCATTCCTTACCTTTTGTAGCTTCTGGTGGCTGCCAGTGTTCTTTCGTCTGTGGCTGCATCACTCTAATCTTTGCCTCTGCAGTTACATTGCTTCCTCTTCTTTTTCGTGTCTGTCAAATCTCCCTCTACCTCTCTCTTACAAGGATATTTGTGTTTGGATAAAGGGACCAGCTAGATAATCCAGGACTACCCAGATAATCCAGGATCTCCTATCAAGAGCCTTGATTACATCTCCAAAGATTCTTTTTCTTTGTAAAGTAACATTTACAGGTTCCTGGTATTGTGACCTGATATCTTTGAGAGGCCATTGTTCAGCCTACTATAGGCATCTCATTTTGAAATTTTCTTGCTATACATCCAAGTGGAGGTTGGAAAGAATTTATTTGTAGGTGATTAAGAAATGGAGCAGTAAAGAAAAAATGCTTTCAAAGCTTCTGTATGTAACAATAAATATCATGTTATAGTTAGTGAAATTTATAGAAGATGAAAATGGTGAAAAGTTGGAGCACATTGAAAATCTGAAGGTTATTTAAAGTATAACCATTGTGACTAAGAGCATCATGCTGCTTTTCAAAGTAAGAGGGCGGGGACAAGGTCAAGTAAACAGACTATAGTAGCTCTGGGGGTCCTCACGAATAAGAAATATTGAATGCCATTAAAAGTCAAGGTAAATAAAGGTACAAGAACCATAATGAGATATGTCTTATTTTCAGATTTTCTTATGCTATTTATTATTTTACCAGACAAGCCTGAATTTTAAAACTGGTGTAATTACACGTAAGGAGCAAAATGTTACAGAAGGCAAGGCTATCTTTGAAAATCAAAGAACTCATGTTCTGAAATGTAAAGTACTTAGCCTTTAAAAAAAGAACTTTTTTAAATATTAATTATCGGAATCATGAAAAGAATCCATGACACTGTCATGGTTGCTTAACCATGGGACGTGTTTTATAGACTCAGCTGTGTATTAAATAGTAGGACTACCCCAGAGCTTATAAAAGCATTTTGTGTAACAATAAGTACTCAGTAAATAATTCCAAGTAGAGAATCATGATTTTCGTTTGTGGCCAAAAATCAGGGTTGGTTTTATTGTTTTCTCAGTAACCTGTTAATTGGATATTTAACATGAAACATTTTTCCCTGAAGAGAAATAACATGGAGATAGTTATCCTTGTCATCAGTATAGATTAACTAATTGATATAGTGCATAGTAAATACTGCTGAGAAATTCTGAAGGCACATGAAGTAAATGTAAAACTTTACTCATTTTACTTTAAGTGCTCTAATATCTGCATAACTCTTTCTCCCCCCTAATTTGGTTGAATAAGGATATTTTAGTTTTGCTTTGGGAAGGGTACCACTTAGTTAAAACCTTATTTGAGAAATGCTTCCTAGTGGTTTTGTCAAGTATTTTAAATGGTTTTAAAAACACACACACAAACTCTGACTGAATAAAATCTTTTATTTGATATTTCTGTCTTTGACACCAACCAGCAGGGCCCAAATGAAAACTTTATTCTGAGATAGTTAGAACTTATAAACAATAATAAATATATAGTGTTGGGGCAAATTAAGAGTACTGTAATAGTTTCTAAAATACCCAAAATGTATAAGAACAAGGCAATAATAACAGCGTTAGTGATTATTTTTAAAAATTCTTTTATAGGAAGCTGCCAACCAGAAACACTACAATCAGCTGGACATCTAGCAGCGGAGATCATGTAAATGAAGTAGCTCGGAGATGTGAAGAACAGTGGACGTGTTTGGTCTGTACACTGATAAATAGACCTTCTTCTAAGGCGTGTGATGCTTGCCTGACTGCAAGGCCTATAGGTAAGACTGAATTTGGATTTTGAGGTCATTTCATTTTAAAGAGGTTTAATTATACCAAGTCAGGTGTGTATCCTGTTCTATCTGGGTATTTTATAACTAGGGGAAATGCTTCGTTTCTGAAAGGTTTAAAAAGAATTGCCAGCCTTTGCATGTAAACCATGCTAATACTCTGTTGAGAGGGAGGGAAAACATGCTTGTGCTAAAAGAGTATGTGCCTTTGTATCTCAAAAAACTGAGACGATAACATCTGTTCTCTACTGTTTCTGATGAATTATTCAATAAAGCTTTGTTTTATGCAGATTTCAGCAACTTTTGAGTTTGTTATTCAGTCCAAGTGTCTCATAAATTGAAAGGGAGGATTTCTGTAAGAATATCTTTGCAGGTGGAATAGAAAAATGCTGAATTTTTTCTCTTCTTTATCCTTCCTACCCCTTGTTATTAAAATCTTTACCCAGACAATTGTACTGATTTCATTGAAATCTTTCAAAATAACTCTCTATAGCTCACAATTTCATGGGTTCAGAAAATGTAAAACCTCAGAGGAAACCTGTGATTAAGAACCATCTCATTGATGCAGCTTCTATTGTGTTCTCAAAGTGTTATTTCTTTCTTCAATTAGAGATGGGAAAGTTCATTCTTGACTTATGGACCCGCACATTGTGTTGGCTGTCATATCGTGTTTTGTTCTCCGGGCCAGAGAATCTGGCATCGCCCCTTGCACAGCTTTGCTGGGAGAAGGAACCCCTTCCCCTATTTCAGTCCCTCCCTCTCCAGTGTCATTCAACAGAGAGCTCTCAGAAAACCAGTCTTAGGTTTCCACATTTATTTCAACTTTCTGAAATGCCTTTACACATCTCACTATTTGCTTGTTTTTGTTTTTTGGGTTTTTTTCTGAGTATGATAGACATATATATATCTTAACTACAATTTGGAATATATTACAGTACAGATTCCAAAATTCTAGGATGCTTTGCTGAAACATTTTTAATAAATGTCAAGTCTTTGTAATTCATCTTTTCTTATTTGTAATAAGCCTTTCATTTTGTCTTGTCAGAGAAACATTCCTGACAATCTAGATGTAGGCCTCTAATGCTGATCTAAACCTTTTTGAGATTTCATCTCTCAATTACCACTTCCTTAACACTTTGCCTAATAGTAACAAAAGTGATGGCTGAATATTCTTTAAATGTTTAAACATAATGTGAAGCAAATATAAATCTTTGTTAAACCTAACTCTGAGTCCCTGTAAGATGTTGAAATTTTGCACTTTATATAATACTTCATGTCTTAACCAGAAGATTGTTAATTTTGAATTGCCCAGGCTAACTTTGTGTTATTAGTTCTCTATATTAGTTCACTGTAATAGTGAACTAAATATTTTAATCAAATAAGATGTTTCAAATAGTCAATATTATAGAAATTTATAGGAATGCTATAGAATTACTTATTTCTCCTTCCAGATTCAACACTAGAGAATGCAGAAAGTTCTATTGCCTGTAACAACTTAGTGAAGTATCCTTATAATAGCTTTGGAAAACCAAGTACAGAAATAAAGATCAACAGGAAAACTGCATTTGGAGCTACAACCCTCGTCTTGACCGATTTTAGCAATAAATCTATTACTTCGAAAAGAAAAAAAAGCCAAAACCAGACACCAAATGGAGAATTTCAGAACTCTTCTCCCACTAACGTTGGTTTTAGTGATACACCAGACCCCTTAGAGGAGAGAGCAAACAATATGGCTCAACCATCTAACACAGTAAACCTATCACCCATGGTCTGTTCTCAGTCTAAATTATGTAGTTCAGCATATAAAAAACTGAAAAGAACCCATTACTCATCACCAGGTCTTGAAAGTTGCAACCCGGGACTCTCTAACAGGTACGATGCTTCTAACCTTGATATTTAAGGTATTTGCATTAAATTTTAAGAAGAGTGAAAAATTATCCATGGCTAAAGAAGTTGGGTTGGTCGTGGTAAAGTAAGTCAAACCCTGAGAGATGATTATAGTCATGTGCTTTCCTTGCCTTCTTCAGCTTATAATATAAGAGAGGAGGAGAGAATGAAAAGCAGAATCTCCTACATCTGTAAAAAGTTATTTTTTTCTGACTGTAACCATATACATGCTCAGTACAGAATATTTGGAAAGTATAAAGAAAAATGTTTAAATCCCCCATAATCTTACCAGTTATCAATCACCACTGTTAGCCTTTTTTTAAAAATTTCTTTCCCATGAAAGATAGTTCATCTAAAAAGGAGACTATCATTTATAACAGTTTACTAAGTGTTTCTTTTCTAAAGAGAGAGATCTGAGATTCTTTAGTGGTATTTCTGCTAAAGAAAGTGGCTGTATATCAAATAGCCATCTGGGATCGTGTTCTTTGTTTTAACCAAAACAGCCTAAAGAACATGTGTGGTACATTTTCATCTGAAATTAAAGAGCTACACTTTCACCTAATAAACTACCCAACCAGATATATTTTATGAGACTACCAAAAACACATCCAGGGGAAAACCCTAACTGACGACATCAGAGATACAGAAGGTTTAATGACAGTGTCATCCCTTGTTCGTTAATGATTATTAGCAGCTCCCGAAACTGTCCACAATACTCCCTTCTCACCTTGTCTAGGCCCTTTATCTGAGCCTCCTAACTATCCCTACCTGATGGGATGCCTCCATCAGAGAGAGACATCTCTCCACAGTTTTCTTTTCAAGCTGTTTGTCGGTTTTCTTCTTTTCTTCAGAAGGGAGGTACTGTATATCTAGCATTTTTAAGTGAAGTGAAGATTATTTTAAGTGGAGTGAAGATAAAGAGCCTTCTTCTCATGTGTCTTGTCTTGCCAATGGGAGACAAGCAGGGGGTTACTGTGGGTGGTATCTAAAGTAATCTCAGAGGATTCTAATTGCTAGCTTCTCTTCTGATTAGCTCTGCCTTTGCTGATGCGAAGAGTCTTCATTCGATGAGGGATCTTCGTTGAGATGAGGGATCACTTGGTGTATGCTCCCATACCAACCTCTGGGAATCCTTAAAGTTTATTTCAGAATAAATGGTCAATAGATGCTTTTTTTCTCAAGTTTCCTATCCCAACTTTAAATTTACCATCAGTTAATCTTGATGATTTATCCTTGACTGATTTTTAAAAAGAATTTGTTTATATTATAATAACTGCTTTCAATTTTTTCCATAATACTTCCAAATGATATCCTTTTGAATTAAATTACGAGGGCCAAACTTTAACTGACTGGATCAGTATATTACCTTTTTACTCTAACCCTAATTAATGTCTCATGATGAAATTTCATGAAAGAGCTAGTTAAGAGTGTTTAAGTTGGGAGGCTATCCTGTAAGAAAATCATTTTTGTACAGCCTTTTCTGTTCTCTAGCTTAAGTGGAAAGAAGCAGATGTGATCGTTTGAAAATATTGCAACATTTACTGTACCCAGATGAAATATCTTGGCATATTTTTATTTCCTTAGTGCTTTATAGAAAATCTCAGACAATTTAACTAATGAATTAAGGATTTAAAAAAACATTAATGTAACCTTAAATTTAAATGATTTCTTCATAAGCCATTAGTAATAGGGTCATATGATTAATCCCAGCACACGGCATTACTTAGAAACACTGCAGCATGTGTATGTGTGGAATATAAAAACCCAAGGACTGAGACTAAAATCAATCAAGATCAGCTAGCTAAATAAATGTCAAGTGGTGAAATACATTTACCCAGCAGCCCTTCTGCACCCAGCCACTTTACTAGGAATAAATTGCAAATTACTGTCATTTTTTTCATTTTTCTCCTTGTCTGGCAGCTACAGTGTTCATCTTGTGGACAAGATGCCACGCAGAAGCTCACAACATAATACGATTAAAGCAGGTGGTCCACTCAGAATTTATAGCCAGGTTGTTTTTTCTTTAATAATTATATGGTAATTAATTTGCCTTTTGTTCTCTTAATTACTGATCTCATCACCACATGTTGATAAGGCATATTTTCAGACTGGTCTTTAGATATCCTTGAATTTTATCCAGCTACTAGATTATAAATTAGATGGTTGAACCAATTCTTAAGAAGTTAAGAATAACTGCTAAATACAGTTTTAAGTCTTTGTTCCACTCGTTGTAGATAGAGAGCAAAACACAGAGATACATTTTTCAAAGAATACATATCTTTCAGGTTAAACTTTTTCCTGAGCTGTTGCAAGGCTCATCATGTAGGTAAGTGAAACAGAACTAGCAGAATCACTAATATTTTCTCATAGCTGCTGCCATCAGGGTTCCCAGAGTTCCTCCTCTAATTACCATGAAGCACTGACACCTTAGGCATGCTTCTGGGTCACCTTTTAGAGTTTTCAGTGCCCAAGGATTTCAGAACTACCTGGGACCATCCATGACAGGTCATTTAACCTCTGTTTGTTATAATCCTTCAAATACCACTGAACTATAAAATTTACATTCAATGAGACATTCATTCAAAAAACTTTTAGACAGTGTAAAATGAGTTAAACTGTGATAAACTGATCACTGAAAAATAACATCTATTTTGAAATTACACACCTGTGCTTAGCAATGTCCTTGATCATAGTTTTTGTCTGATCTCTATTCAATTTTATTTGTTTATTAATTAATAAGTATTTATTGAGAAGCCATTGGGCATCAGGTATTTCTCTGGGTTCTAATGACCTCTACCTCAGCAAACTACAGCTAGCAGGACTAAATCCAGACTGCCACATGTTTTTGTAAATAAAGTTTTATTGGAACACATCCCATTTCCATTGGTTTACCTATTTTCTATGGCGGCTTTTCGTGCTCCAACAGCAGAGTTGACTTGTCGCAAAAGAGACCGTCATAGCCATAAACCTAAAATATGTTATCTGAAAAGAGTTGCTGACCTCTGAACTATTATATTAATAGACTATTTATAACCCAGTATTAATATTTAAAATGATGGTCCTAATTATCAAAATAAGTTAAACTATTCTGTATGCCAAGTTTACCTAAAGAAATGCTCTGCTACGATTTAGCAAAATTTTAAATGATTGAAACAAAGAGGAACCAAGATGTCCTCAATTAATTAGAACATTAATTATCTTGGATAATGATTTCTATCATAAAATTAAGATTAGCTGTGCATATTTAGAGCTAACGTTATCACAGGTGTCATCAGTATCTTCGTTATATTAACTGTGCTTTGCAACTTAATGTGCTTATAAATTATCTGGGAATCTTGTTAACATGCAATTCTAATTCTGCCAGGAATCTGGGGTAGGGGCAGGTGATCTGTGTTTCTAAGGAGTTTCTACCTGATGCTGGTACTTCCTGTCAGTGGACATTCTGAGTATAGGGATTAGATAGCATATGGCTGTTTTTAACTTTATACCGAGGAAGAGGTGGAATGGAAGACAGAAGAGAGAAACCAATAGAAGACACTGGGGTCTTTCCTTTTCTCCTTAAGCCTACCTTCCACTGTGTCACCTTCTCAGAAGAGCTTTACTAATAAGAGAATCTAAACCTCTCCTTAGATACGTGGAACTAGGAGGTTTCTAGGTTGAAGCAAATGGATTAGAAAATGTTTAATTGTTATCACAGACAGCCACGTTCAAAATAATATATAAAACTATCTTTGCCTGTGTCCATTCTTTTAATGAGAGCAACATTTCATTTCTTTCTGTTAATATTCTTAACCTTTTTTCTCCTTTAAAAAAAAATTTCAAAAGCACTGTTTATGACCTACTTGCTCCAATCGTAAAATCTCTTGATTTCTCTACGACCATCCATATATTTAGCTTCCTTCAAAATTAAAGTTTTAATATTGCCTTTTTCAGAGGCAGTGGGAGGGTTGGTGAAATGGAGAGGAGTTGTGAAAAGAACAGGCTTGTAACCTCTCAGCTTCTCTATTTCAAGTTGGTATTACCCGCAATTCTAAAATATGAGCCACCATCCCCACCTTGAAAAACTTAACCAACAAAACAGTTACCAGCAAAATATTTCACAGTAATGATTTCCTTAGTGATGCCTACAGCTGCTTTCATCCTACAAATGCCTGCTGCATAGTTTCAGAAACCCCTCAGAATGTGAGTCCATCCCAAACATTAGAAAGTTTGAGTCCATTTAAAGCAATATATTTAAACATCTGTTTTAGAAATGAGTTTAAACGAATTTTATGCAAGTAAAAGATCACTTATATGTCAGTTACATCTCAATAAAACTGGATAAGGGGAAAGACTTTTGAATGTTTTAATTAGATATGGTGCCTTCAGGCATCATTGTGGGAACAAGTACGTGAAAAATGTACTGATAATCCCGGACTTACAATGGTCTGACTTACAATTTTTCAACTTTATGATGGTGAAGAGATACGTATAGTTACATGAGATAGTCAACACTTTATTACAAACTAGGCTTTGTGTTAGGTGATTTTGTCCAACTGTAGGCTAATGTGAGTGTTCTGAGGGCATTTAAGGTAGACTAGGCTAAGCTATAATGTTCTTTAAGTTAGGTATGTTAAATGCATTTTTGACTTAGAATATTTTCAGTTATGGTGGCTTATCGGGACGTAACCCATCATCAGTCGAAGAGCACCTAGTTTAGGAAGCAAATAAAGGAGAACTACCTTTGATTTATGAGTATTTAAAAAAATTATTTAAGATTGATATTTTGTTTTTTAGAAATTAAAATAATAGAAAAGATGAATCTTTTTATCATTAAAAAGTTAAAAAGCGGGACCATTAAGGAGAAGGACTTCTGGTTTTAATATGAGCTCTTTTCATCTAGTTTATTAAAAAGACTAACTCTTATAAAGGTATCATTAAAAATATGCAAAATATTTTAAAAAATCAAAAATCATCATGAAGCCCCTTTTTAAAGAGAAAATCCCTCTCATGCAGCTGCAGCAGAAGACCAGCTTCTAGCATTTGTGCACTGTGTACAGGAGTAACCCGCAGGTCCTCTTGATCTTATCATGGGGGAGAATAAAGCTTCCCTACTAGCTTTACAAAATATACATTTCTACTCAGCCAGGCAGCCCGTTCTTGCTGAAATATGATTGCAACTGTTATAGTGGTCTTGATCAAAGAAAAAATTCAAAAATTGTTTTTAAAGTGGACAGTAGAAAGAGTGATCTCTTTGGTCTAGTCAGAGCCATTGACAGGAGTTGGCTACCAATGAGAAAATAATTAAAGACTGTGACTCTAGTTACTTTGTGGGGTGAAAGGGGACAGCTGGACTTGAAGCATATTTTAGAGGAACTAAACGTGGCCACACTGTAATGTTTGATAAGAGAAGAATCAAGTATCACAAATGAAAACTAAGAAAAATGGATATATTAGATGCACAATTCCTCTGTGTGTTATTCTTAGAAATTTCATGTACTTTAGATACATAGGTTACTTTGGAAGAAAATTAGAATTACCCGCAAAAACCAAGGTTTAAAAAGACTTAGCAGTTTGTGTAATTACCTAAAGTTGACAATTTCTTTGTACAAGTGGGATTCTAGCATGGGGTTGAGGAGCGGTGAATGATCCCTTTAGCACTATTATGCTTTAGTTATTTTATAACCTGTCATTTCAGTGAACTTCAAATTAATATGACAGATGGTACTTGTACATTAACTGCTCACAGCCCTCGCTGCAGTAAACACAACCGTCTCTGCGTTCTCCGAGTTGTGAGGAAGGATGGCGAAAACAAGGGCAGGCAGTTTTACGCTTGTCCTCTACCTAGAGAAGCACAATGTGGATTTTTTGAAGTAAGTGTAAGATTTATCAAGCTTACTATAGTATAATTGAATGCTTCGGTTATTAAGTTGTAATAAATAGCAATCCTTTTCCAGTTTTACCTTTAAATTTTAAATAGCCATATTGACATTCGGTCTAAAGCCTGAATGTTGAATAAATTAAAATTCAAGGAGGTTCATCAAAAAAAATTAATCAAATAATAGCTATTAGATTAGTAGAGTGTATCATATTTGTAACCAGTGTAGAAGTGTTGCCCTTGGTTTATAGAAAGGTAAGAAAAGTAGTGAGTAATTTTCCCAGACAGCTAGATAGTTGATGATAAAAATTTGCACTTCCTAATGTCAGGGCTACATCAAAACCTTCCACTTAAGCGCTGGATAGAGAGGTACATGAAAAAAATAATTCTCATGCCTTGGATTTACAGTAAACAGTGAATCCTACTACATGAGTTGGCCCAACAAAAGATATGGCGTGGTAACAATGTAGATATAGATAATTCCTCACATGTTTTTGATCTGGGAGTTTGACCCTGAAAATGAATGTGAACTAGGAGCCAAGAATCTGCATTCCTCAGAGTGTGAGGACCGGGCTATGCTGAGTGTGCTTCTAATGTTAAAGATGCATATTTTCCCAACTGCTTCATCTGGTGCAACATTGAAAAAAAAAAAAAATGATCTGTTTCAGTGCTGGTGCAAAAATTTTCTGGTTGGTCTTATCGAGAGAGAAAATACCTATCTTCGACAGGGTATATCTCTCTAGGGAATTTGCCAGGGAAAATGTGATAATGATTTTTAGATGTTAACTCCAGCACAAGATGTGCCTCCATCTTACAAAACTTATAGATTGTCTCCTTAAGAAGCTTTTATAGATGTAATGGAGAAAATATTAGCAATATTAATAATAGCATAACCTGCTTTAGACCTCTCTTGTGGCCAAAATTAATAAGGATAAGAACAATACAGTGGAATCTGCCTAAATTAGTTCACTTAATTCTGTATTGAATTATTTAAGAAAAATTAGAGAATAAAGAGATTTAGTATTAGAATCAAGGACAAATCTTGAATCATAATAGTTTTAACTAAAATCTATAGCAGAAACATTGGTGTTTGCTTTACAGCAAGGCAAAGGGAAGCTCAAAATTACGGCAATTTTCTGTGTGATTCAAGAAAAATTGTAAGAGACGCTTATGGTATATAAGCTTTTTTTGAGGGCAACAACTAATGACTTATGTCCGTTTTACAATGTCAGATTAATAGTAGCAATGAAGACAACACGGCACTAATCAGACGCACCTGGGTTTAGCCTGCTCATCATCCTAACTTCCATCTAAACTTTACAGTCTTTCTGTTTTTCTCCCATAGTGGGCAGATCTGTCCTTCCCATTCTGCAACCATGGCAAACGCTCCATCATGAGAACAGTGTTGAAGATTGGACCTAATAATGGAAAGAATTTTTTTGCGTGTCCTCTTGGTAAGGACAAACAGTGCAATTTTTTCCAGTGGGCAGAAAATGGGCCAGGAATAAATATTCTTCCATGATGTTAGTATCTCCTCTTTCTGTAGAATATCCAGCCTTTAATTCCTTCAGACTATAATTATTTAGTCCCCTTTTGTTTAAGAGAAAAGTTGCAGAATATCTATTGCAACATTTGAGAAATTATTTTTTTATGTGTGCAATCTTTCCATTCTATGAGTATATATTTTTTACCTTGATGAATGCTGTATATTTCATCAAATGTACAGTGTTTTCCATTTAGTATATATATTTAATGCATTTATTAGTGACAATAAAGTATTTTTAGTATGTTTTTGGTCTCTTGTAACTTTTTTGGGAAAGCAATGATTTTTTTTTAGGAAGGGATTATGCAGTACAATAAAATAAGAAGGTATTCTCTCAAATGAATATTTTTTCAGGTATCGCCACTATTCATAATATGTGATTAAAGGTACTTTTTGTTTTCTTAAATAAAATTTAAGAAATGAGATCTCCTTTATGGAAAAGAATGCTTTTTTAATTCTGTTCAACAAACATCAAGTTCCTCTTGGATGCTAGAGACATGCCAACCCTTCTATAACTTCAGATGCATTTTCATGGAAAGCTATAGGGATTCAGAATATAAAAGTAACATTTAAGAACAGAAGTTGTCTATATATCTTTTAAAGAGATGTAGATTTAATTTTTTTCTGATCTTGATTTTAGTATCTATTAATTAATGTTTAAAATAATTTCAAAAGCTTAATTATGTACTACTTTTTAAATTTTTAGTTTTATCTTAACTCTTCTTTTTTTTGAATTTAGTTCAGGCAACTGTATGATTATTTCCCAAAAGAAAAAAACCTCAGTCTTAAGGTATTTCTGTGTATTTATAGAAAATTCCATTCAGAGCTGGTCCAATCTATTGAATAAAAAGCACGGAGGATAGCTTGAACCCCTTTCCAATTCTATCACTGAATTTTCTATGCAGAGCTCTAGAAATTAACAGCATATTAGGTTACCAGCAAGGACTGAGCATATTTCGTAGTCTTAAATGTGTTTGAGCTCTACACTGAAGAGACAGAATTACAATCAAGCTAATATCAGTGATTTTAACCCAAAAATTTCAACAGAGCAGTGACTCTTGGGCAGATCAGGAACTGGACTGGACCACGAACAATCGTAATGACCAGACATGAAGTTTATGGAGTGTATTCAGAAGGAAATTGCAAGTTAATTGTGTCACAAGGAGGGGAAAGGCCTATTGCAAATCAGGCTTCCATAAATTCCGGTCTCCAAAAATTAGCAAATTAATTACAAGGAAACGGGGAAATGAAACTCGATTTCAATATGATAAATGTAGATACTTATCTAATAAGAAATGTGCAGGATTCATATGGAGAAAATTTTGCTGAGAAGTATCAAAGAACTAGATGGATAGACAAAACAGAGTCTTATTTAGAAAAGATGAGTGTTTAAAAAAATGGCATTCTGCCTAACTAAATTTTTAACAAAATTTCACTTCAATATCTCAAGGGGGTTTCTGATTCCATTATAGAGTTAGCTCCCACTGAACCTAACTTTAAATTCTGGATAAAATCAAAAACAATACTGGAGAGTGAAGAAAAGCAGGCAGGTTCTGGAGGGACTAAGATCTGGGAGAAAGGAGCAACTAGAAGTGATTTCTTATTTTTCGGTTTTTATCCTGTGAACAGAGTCAGTATGAAGCAGCATGGCCAGAACTCTGGGAGAAAACCCACAGGCTTTCTGGCCTGAAGAGCCAGCAGGCAGCTTGGGAAACCCAGCCACTGGAAAGAGGGAATTCTCAAAAAGCATTCCAAAAGGAAGAGTCCCAAGTTCTGTGTTTAAACTGCTTGTGTCTTGACTGACCCCTGAACCACACACACATGGGTGGGATAGACTGAACACAAAGCAGCCAGAGAAAGGAACTGAACCCAGATTTGACCCGCTGTCCCCAAAATTCACAGTTTGAATCCAACCAAATTAATTGCCAAGACAAAAACATTGACACTCTAGAGGAATATACCAAATCCAGTCTCTACCACATTATATCCACAACATTCAGGAGTCATAGCAAATTATGCAATGTAAGAAAAACCAAAATAATGTGGCCCAATTTCAGAGAAAAGACAAACAACCAAACCCCACCCCAAGATGACCAAGATGTTGGAATTAGCAAACAAGGATTTTAAAGCAGCTACTATAGCTATGTTCATTGAAGTAAATGGTAAAGGGAAATGGTAGCAGACTGAAAATCAAATCTTCAAGAATGCTAGTTATAACAGAGCTAAGTATGTAGGTGTAACACCTATTACCAGATTTGGAAGTTTTCAACCACTATTTCTTCAAACATTTTCTCAGTCTCACACTCTTCCTCCACTCCTTATGAAAGTCCAGTGATACAATATTAGATCATTAGATCGTTATTGTCCTACAGATCCCGAAACTCTATTCATTTTTCCCCTCCCCCACCTCTCTCTAGTTCAGATTGAGTAAATTTTATTGATCTGCCTTTACATTCACTGCTGACTTCTCTGTCATCTTCACTCTACTATTGAGACCATCTAGCCTTTTTTTTAAATTTTATTGTTTGTATTTTTCAGTCCTATAATCAACACCTGTTTTTTTATTATAACTTCTATTTCTTTGTTTAGATTTTCTATTTTTTTAATTGGTTTGAGAGAATTTATAATTGATTCTGGAAGCACTTTTAAGATGACTGCTTCAAAATCCTGGTCAGATAATTCTAATATTTGATTAATATCGGTACTGTCATCAATTGAGTGTCTTTTTTTTTTTCCTTCAGTTATGATTTTCCTGGTTTAGAGCATGATGGGTGATCTTTGATTATACGCTGAATATTTGGTTATTATGATATGAGACTCTAGATCCTATCGAAATCTTCCGTTTAGCAATAATCACTCTGTTTCGGTTGAGGGTATAGATTCTGTCTTACATTATGGGCTTTAGTACCAGTGGGTTTAGTTTTCAGAGCCCTGGCAATCAGCTGCTGTCTGTTTCATTCTGGTCTTGCCGTGGCTCCTCGTCAGTCCCTCTTAAGCTGTCTGCAGGTAGCAAAGTTGATTCCCTGGGCTTCCTGGTGCCTCTAGACCACCTTGTGCAAGGGAGTGTAGACAGAAGTTACTGTGCCTGTGTCTCCTTCTGACACTAAGTAGAAGGAAGCAGGTATTGTCATCGTCCCACAGCAGCAGGACCAGGACAGGGCTGTCATCTGTTCATCTTTGTACTGAATTTTTTAACGATGCTGTGTAGTCTGCTAGTATTCATCTCTTCGAAGTTTATCTGCCTATTTCTTGATATTTCAAACCAATATCATATGACTATAAAGGCTTTTAATCATGGGGAGGAAAATCAAGAATGAGATAGAAAGTGAAATTAGGAAGATGATGATTTTAAAAGCCACTATTTTTTTAACTAATATTTTATTATTTTTCAATTATAATTGCCATACAATATTACATTAGTTTCAGGTGTACAACATAGTGATTAGACATCAATATAACTCTCAAAATAATCGCCCCAATAAGTCTAGTACCCCTCTGACACCATACGTAGTTATTACAATATTATTGACTATATTCCTTATGTTATACTTTATATCTCCATGACTATTTTGTAACTATCCCTTCCTCCTTTTTCACTGGACCGCCAGCCCCTCTTTCATCTGATAACCCTCAAAATGTTCTCTGTATCTATGAGTTTATTTCTGTTTTTTGTTTGTTTGTTTGTTTGTTTTGTTCTTTAGATTCCACATGTATGTGAAATCATATGTGTCTTTATCTGACTTACTCTGCTCAACACAATACTCTCTAGGTCCATCATGAAATATCTTTTTCCATCCCTTTACTTTCAGTCTCTGTGTGTCTTAACCTGAAGGAGTTTCTTATAGGCAGCCTATGCAACGGTCTTATTTTCTTATCCATTCAGACACCCTATCTTTTGATTGGGGCATTTAATTCTTTTACATTTGAAGTATTTGTTTGATAGATATGTAGTTATTTTCATTCTTTATTCATATTTTTGATATATATTGTTTTTCTTTTTAAAAAAGTCCCTCCAACATTTCCTATAATCCTGGCTTGGTGGTGATGAACTCCTTTAGGTTTTTCTTGTCTGGAAAGCTCTTTATCTGTCCTTCAATTCTAAATGATACCTTTGCTAGGTAAAGTAATCTTGGTTGTAAGTCCTAGCTTTTCATCACTTTGAATATTTTGTGCTAAGCCCTTCTGACCTGCAAAATTTCTGTTGAGAATTCAGCTGACAATTTTATGGGAGCTCCCTTGTATGTGACATTGTTTTTCCCTTGCTGCATTTAAGATTCTCTCTTTGTCTTTAAACCTTGGCATTTTAATTATGATGTGTCTTGGTGTGGGCCTCTTTGAGATCATCTTGTTTGGGACTCTGTGCTTCCTGAGCTTATATGTCTAGTTCCTTCACCAGGTTAGGGAAAGCTTCAGTCATTATTTCTTGAAATAGATTTTCAATTCCTTGCTCTCTCTCTCTTCTCATTCTGGTACCCCTATGTGCAAATGTTAGTATGCTTGATGTTGTCCCAAAGGCCCCTTAAACTATCCTCATTTATTTATTTATTTATTTTCGTTTTTTTTTTTTTTCTCGTTGCTGTTCTGATTGGGTGTTTTCTACTACCTTATCTTCTAAAGCACTGATTCGATCCTCTGTTATCCAATCTACTGTTGATTCCTTGTGATGTTATCTTCAATTCAGTTATTGTGTTCTTCATTTCTGACTAGTCCCTTTTTATGTTTTCCATTTCCATTTTTATGTTTTTTATCTCTTTGTTAAAGTTCTCATGAGTTTATTTACTCTTCCCCTAAGTTCATTGAACATCCTTATAACCAGTGATTTGAACTCTGCACCTGGTAGATTGCTTGTCTCCATTTTGTTGAGTTCTTTTTCTGGAGCTTTGTTCTGTTCTTTTATGTGAGACATGCTTCTTTGTCTCCCCACTTGGGCTGCCTCCCTGTGTCTGTTTCTATGTATTAGGTAGGGCTCCTAAGTCTCTTGGTCTTAGTAGAGTGCCTTTATGTAGTAGGTGTCTTGTGGGGCCCAGTGGTACAGTCCCAGAAGGGATCCAGCTGCAGGCCAAGTTCAGCTGCAGGCCAAGTTCAACTGCAGCCTATGCATATCTGGGGCCACCTGGTAGAAGCCACCAAACAATCCACAGATGGCTGCCATCCATGCTAGACTTATAGATGCCTCCAGAGGCCAAGCAAAAAACGAAGGCTGGCTGCCACTAGTGAAGGGCTTGGGGCTGTTCAGCAAGAGGTACGGGACACGATGAGGCCAGAGACTGCTTCTTTAGGTTTTGTGAGCCTTTCAGAGATTTTAGGAAACTTCTCAGCAGCAACCAAGATAGGCTATTTGTATGGAATAAACAATTAGAAGCAGCTTGGGTGAGCCCACAAGTTGGGAGAGGCAGAGTGACCTGTGTTATCCAGTTTGATGGCAACTCAGCTATTGCAGCGCCTGTGTCTGCACACTGGGAGGGGAGAGGGCTCAACAAAGGAAAAATAGCTTCTGCCTCAAGGTGCAGAAAGCCGCCCCTCCAGCCCTCGCCCTGAAGCCTGACAACTCAGTGTCTCTCCATATGTCCCTGGAGCTCCTCAAGCAGCTGCCCCAAGGCTGGAGCTCAGAATGAGCGAGTCTATTAGCAAGTAAGTTTGTGTGTGGCCCTTTAAGAGGAACGTCTGCAACTTCTGCAGCCCTCCATCCTACTCAGTTGCAACCTCCACTGGTTTTCACAGCCAGAGGTTGTGGAGACTTCTCTTCCCAGCAATGGAACCCTGGGCTGGGGATCCCAGTGTGGGGCCGGAACCACTTGCTCCTCAGGTAGAGGAGGGGGCTCTGCAGCCAAATAACCCTCTTGATTCTCGATAGTGATTGTGGGACTGGGCTGTTTCACATCTCTGCCCCTCCTACCAGTTTGAGGTGACCTGTTATTTTTATCCCTAGTTATAGGGCTTCTCTTCAGCCAGACCTCAGTGACTCTGCGTGCTGGTTGCTCTATAGTTTCATTATAATTTTGGTGTGGTCACAAGAGGAAGCGTGCACAGCTCTACCTTCTACGCCATTTTGACTGGTCTCTGAGCCATTGTTTCTTGAGCTGTTATTTAGTGACACCTGCTGACACTTTTCATAGTTATTGCATTTAATCCTCTTGAATGCCCATGAAATTGGATTTTTATTGTTGTTGTTATTTCTAATTTTCCAGTTTATGAAACCTGCCTTTATGTAGGTTAGGTAAGAAATATGCCTGTGTCACATAGGCTATGGCTTGAACTCAGTTTGCATAGCTTTAAAGGCCACACTTGAATAAGCTGTTCTCTTTTCCATGTATGAAAGAAAAGTGACTGTACCCAAAATTGTATGCCTTTGATATGTACAAATATCTAACATAAACATAAAAATAATTGTGGTATGTTGATATGATTATGGTAATTTTTTCTCTAAAATTTGTCATGTTAAATTAAAAAAATTTTTTTCAATTATAATTGACATACAATATTATATTAGTTTCAGGTGTACATCATAGTGATTACACATTTATATAACTTATGAAGTGATCACCCTAACAAGTCTAATACCCATCTGATACCATACATAGTTATGCAGTGTTAAATTTCCTATAAATTTAACTTTCCATTACTTTCCATTGCTTTTATCTTTTTAACTTTCAATAAATATTTTTAAATCCATTATTTTCATGTACTTTCTAACAATATCTGTCATTGCATATTCTAGATCATTATTACTAGTAAGTTAGTTTGTGAAATGAAAGAATAAATATTCTAATGAGTTTCCCCAAAGATGTAACCTTTTTTTCTTTATATCTTTACAGCTCTTCTAGAGCATATACTATAGTCTGCCTTATGTTATTCATCCTATCTGCATTTCCTGATGTTCAGCTCCTTAAGGTATTGTGGAGAACTCTTCTTTGTTCTTCATAGAATCTTACCAAGTATTGTGTCTTTGCACATAGTAGAAACTTGGTAAACATTTGTTGAATTTAATAGATGAAGATTTAATATAATATCAGTCTATTGAACATTTTTAACCTTGTTACTACTATTCAAACATGAATGTACTTAAATGTCATTGCAAGAGTGTTGCTGGTTTGTTATAAAAGAGAAAGACATTGCTTCGTGTCTAAAAGCTGTTAAATCTTTCTAGTAATTTAAATTCAAGTCTCCTTTTTGGAGTTTTACAGAAATTTGCTTACAAACGGACAGGCCAAAACTAATCAGATCAAAGAGTATGCCTTCACTGAAAAGGGAAGAAGTTATAAAAATAACTCTGCCTTACTGCTACTCTGTGTTTAATAACAAAGAGAAGGGAAAATGTAACTATTCCTCACAACCTCCACAAGTTTGAACTTCTTCATTTTATAAGAAACCAAGTCAACAGGTTTAAATAACTTCTTGGTTTTTCATTCACTTAGTCTCTATTGAGCACCTACCATATGAAAAATTCAATGCTAGGTATTTTTAAAGAAGATCTTGACAATATATAAATGAAGTAGAAAATGATAAGGGACAATAGCCCTATAAGTGAAGTGTGGAAGGTGACAGGAAGGAGAGCTCAT